CTTCAAGTTGACAGCCACTAATCTCGAGAGGTGCTTTCTCTTCGGCAGGGATTCAACATGAAAACACTTTAGTCTTCCCAGCGTTTATGGACAAACCGACCGATGTCGCGACCTCGTCCACCCGTGACACCATAGACTGTAGATCGCCAAAGCTTGATGATAGTTAAGCGATATCATCGGCATAGTCGAGGTCAGTTAACCGGCGTCCGGGTGCAAGCTCAATACCGTCAGTTTCCTGTAAGGCGATCTGGATAGCGATCTTGGACAGTGGATCGTTTGTGTTCCATTATTCGCGAGCTAAGTCATTATGCGGTCTGTCCTGTATAATGGTGAGAACCTTACCATCAATGCAACCCTCGTTTCCTCTTTTTCTCGTATCTAAACTTCAAAAGCATTTCAATTCTTGCTGTATACTTATTGGCTCTAGAGATGGCCTCTTGTACGAAACCTAAAGCTCAGACAAATCTTAACACTGTCCCAATGATCGTGTCTTCGTCTTCTTTGAAATAAAAGCCTGGCTTCCCTGATTTCTGATTTGGGGAACCTTCTGTTCTCGGCAATCACTATTTCGACATATTCGCTTCTATTAATAAGGGTCTCTTTTCCATCCCTCTTAACGTAATTAGGAAATGTTGTTGCTTGGGCTGGTACGGAATAATCAGAGAATATATGCATTCAGAAGGGCTGCTACACTCTACTAGATAAAAAAAACACATGACGTTACCTAAAATACGTGTAAAAGCCGGCGTACAGAAGCATACCGACATGACTTTAACATCAGTGTAGATTAAGCCAAATTCAAAAACAGAGCAACCGGTACAAAGGAAAGTTTTAGAACGGCATATCAAAAAACGATGGCCACAATAAGCCTCTGGAGCAAACGAAATTTCTGGATACTTACTTTAGCATCCACTGAGGCGCCCCGCTTTAGTAGAATATCCACAACGTCGATAAAGCCCTTGTTAGCGCCTAGCATGAGAGCAGTCTTGCCAAGTTTATTAGCTGCGTTCACATTTGCTCCGGCATTCAGTAGCATGTTTATGATGCTAAAAGTTGCGGGTAAACTGAGGCAATTTGGTTTCTACCTGTTTTGCAGGGTTTAATTCAGAATTTTTATATACAAATAGTCGAAGGTCATTTAAAAACTACTGCCAGGCATGTTTGATAAACTCGTGCTAACTTTGAACTCGCATCGTCCAAGACACAGTAAGGAGAAGTTGAGTTCTGCAAGTTTTAGCAATCAACTGCAGATGAGGTAATAAGTCATATTGCAATTGATTCTGAAAGAATTCATCAGCACATTTGACGAGGTTGTTAGGGCACGGTTATAGCTACCCACCGTATTATGGACGTTCTTGTTTATCTAGTTAGAGAGTTAGTATGGGATTAAGGAAGATTATGTCCAGGTTTAGGGTTGGGGTTAAGGTTGGGGTTAAGGCACTGTGATAGGCAACCTCTGGAATTTAGCGCAAGGCTACCTATGGTACGAACGAGATACTTTTACTCGGATCCAGCCGATGAGTTTGCCTCATGCACTTGAAGGATATTCATGCCAAAAGTGGTTTCACTCTTAGTTCTCAAAATGTTGATGTAATGCTCGGCAGAGATGGCAAACGCCACCCCACTTTGGCGTAATTTGTTGTAGTACCACTGAAATCGTATTCGGTAGGCATGTGATTATTTATAGATATGTTTCGGTGTGCTGTAAGGTTGGTGCCGTTTTAAGTCAACAGTGTATACTAGGTTACGGGGAGGGGGGGCTTGATTCGTGCTTTTTTCGAGTTGGGATTTGAGATATTTATGGACCACATGCTGTTGTCCGATTTATTATGCTTAGTGTTAATCACAATTTCTTAGGATTGTGACGTAGAGTTGATTATTGAGATTCAATAACCGTTAGCGGTGGGGTTAAGGTTAATGTTAAGATGAGAATTAAGGTGGTTTATTTACTCACCGTCTTTAGACTTGTGTATTAGTTTCGGCGTCGCTACACGCCGCCTTCAGCCTAGTCGGGGGGAGGAGGGTACTATGGCGGTCCGTGTCAGCGCCACTGTGCTGACCCACCTTTTCTTCGGCTGCCAAGGCTCGCAGTCGTGTGGGCTCGCTATCTACCCGTACACTCTTGTTCGAGCCGCATGCTGACGCATCGCGTC